TTATTCTCTAGCTTTTCTTATTTAACTCTGAAGGCCCACAATTGGCCGTTTGATTAGATTTTATTTTAGGAATTTTTTTTCCTTCTTTACCTCATTAGAAAATAAAAAGAAAAATCTCTGCTGGAATCAAAATCTGTCCTTTTTTTCTCTGCTTCTAACGATTCGCTTTCCGGAAATTCAAAGCCCTATACTATTTGCCTGGTAAGATTTCAGAGCAGCGTGTTTTCTGAGTGGATTTTTTTTATTTTATTTTTTTCAATATCTGTTTGTTTGCTGAGAAAAGAATAAGGTGAGTGTCGAATTTCGAAAACTTCTGTTTCTGGTTAAACCGTTGATTTTAATAGATAATGCTTCTGCTATTTCTAGAGTGTAATTGAATGTGAGTTTTTTTTTTTCTTTTGATTTACTGACAAAAGTCAAACTTTGATGTATATTAACTTTTATTTTTTGGAACGGGACAAGCTAAGAAATTTCTTTGCATTTATAATTGGTGAAAATTTGCATGATTAGAGCTAAGATTGAACCGATTTGAATTAATTTTTGTATGTTTTACTTTTGTAACTGTTTATCCAATATGTGAGTGGTCTGCCCTTATTCTGTTTGAACTTTTTAAAAATCTTTAGTTGGAACCTGATTTTTTTTCTGGGTGCATTTTTATGTGTTTTGTGAATAGATGGAGTCGCCATTATCTAAAATGTTGAAAGGTTATCAGTCCCTGGACAATGTTTGGTAATCTATGTATGAGTATTGAGAAGAAATACAGTAATGACATGCTTTGCCTCTTTTGGGTATCGAAGAAGACATTTAGAATGAAAGAATCATGAGCTATTTGGGATTAAAATGGATCATGTTTAATAGATTTGTGAAAATGGTGGAAGGGAAGAAAAGATTTTACTGTGATGGTGTTTTACTCTACAGTGTTGTTACTTTCTTTTCTGTCCCTGGATAATGTGAGGCGAGAGAAGAAGCAGAGAAACTTCAAATTTCTCTAATTAAATTTCTTCTAAGTGCTACATAAGAGAAAAGAAGGGAGAACTCTCTCCTGAACGGTGATATTTTCTTCACCCTGTTCTGATGTATGACTTGATATATTTATATTGCTTTCGGTATTGGCAATTAGGAACTGTCATTATATGGTTTTTACTTGTGTTTGGTAAAAATGTATGACTAAGAAGAAGTTATAGCAGTCAATCGATATTGATTTTGTTCAATGTGGAGTCTACTGGTAAGCCTGTGACTCTACTGTGGGTGTTTGGGGACCTACTAAGTTTTTGTGTCTACTTTGGAGCCAATATTGTAAATCAAGTCATCTGATAAGAAAGACAGCCAAGTTTCTTGTTCAACTTATTCTAGTTTCTGTATATTGACCTCAATATTGATTTTAAAACACTATATTTTACCTCTTTGATTAAATCCTCTTACGGTACTTTAAAAAATTAGTATTGGTTTAGTCCATGTGCTGTTTCTTTCCTGGAAGTATAGTCGATGTGCTTGACTGGCTTTAAAGGTTCCCAAGCTGCTGCTTTGAGTTCTCTCTCTCTCTCTCTCTCTCTCTCTCTCCTGTCCTGATTTGGAAACTTAATCGCTTGCCTGCTAATTTGATCAGGACCACAATTGGCTTTGAACACTCTGTCATTCAGTAGACTATGGAACAAGAAAATAACAAAAATGAAGCTGATGACAATACTGCAGAAGACTTGACAAAATCACAGTCATCTGAAGAGAAAGGTCCAAATCTACTGAGGGCCAAATCGGAAATTGCAAAGTCAATGGCCAAGAATTTCTTGAAGACAAGAAAGGCCACTGGTACTTCTGAGGTTCAGAGGAGAAAGAAAAAGAAGAAAAACAAGAGTGTTTCAGAGGGAAGTAAAGAAACTGGAGGGAATGCTCAGAAGCTAAATTTAAGGGAAGAAAACCAACAGAATGCTAGCACCAGTACAGAGCATGTAGAGAAGGGTCAGCGGATCCCAGAGAACCAAGATAATACATGTGCATCAGATAGCCAGGAAAAGAGAGGTAAGCCAAATGACAATACTAAGAAACGAAGAAGGGAAGAGAAGCCTGGTGTTTCAAATAAAAAACGGAAGAATGAAGAAAGGCAGAAAGGTAAGGAAAAGATAAAACAAAATGAGCAGAAGGAAAAGCACAATAATTCAGAGAAGAATAAGAATAAAGAAATGCGCCATGGTAAGGAAAAGAAACAGGAAAATAAGAAGAAAGAAAAGATTGATGGTGTAATATTTATGTGCAATGCAAAGACCAAGCCAGATTGTTTCCGATACCGTGTAATGGGTGTATCAACGAGTAAAAAGGATCTTGTGTTAGGTATCAGACCAGGGCTTAAGCTTTTTCTCTATGATTATGATCTCAAGCTTATGTATGGGATTTATAAGGCATCTTCTTCTGGTGGCATGAAACTTGAGCCTAAGGCTTTTGGTGGGGCTTTTCCTGCTCAGGTACCATTCTGTTATAGCCATCTTCCTCCAATTATAACTCCTCTTTCTCCTTACTTTAAGAGATTTGTGTACTGATGACTTCAATTTCAGGTGCGGTTCAGTGTCCAAGCTGATTGTTTTCCTCTGGCAGAGAGCATTTTCAAGAAGGCAATCAAGGAAAATTATAATGAACAGCACAAATTCAAAACTGAACTTACTGCTAGACAAGTGAGGAATCGTTTTCATATCTGGCAGTTTGGTGTTCATTGTTTCCTCTCATATTTTAGCATTGATGAAATTTGAAATTTCCCTTTCAGGTTCGGAAGCTCACAGAACTTTTCCGACCAGTTGCAGTTCATTCAACTGCACTGCCTGCCATCTCCCCATCAAGGGCAGGGGGTCGAATCCCTGTACACCATGAAAATAGGGAGGCTTACGATAGAGCAAGGGAAGCAAGGCCTCCTTCAGATAGAGAAGCATCTGCTAGAGACCCTTATGCCAATGCCAATGCTAGAAGATATGCTGCTTTATCTCATGAGAGGAATCAGCAATTTGGATATGGAGAGTTGGTATTTTCTCAGAGAGAGGACATTCGTCATGATTTATACCTGAGTGAGAAGGAATACAGGGCTTATGGTCTTCAGGGAGAGAGAAGAAACTTGACTCTTCAGCATCATGTCGCTCCTACATCAGTGTCTTACCGGAGAGATTATGGGGAGCAGCTTCTAAGACAATCAGACACTGTATATGGAGAATCTGTGCCTATGCAGAGAGATATAATTCGCTCTGATCCTCCTTATTTGACTGAGAGAGAGTATCGGACTTATGATTTGGGTGCTACACAAGATATGCAATCAACAGTTTCTGCAGCAACAACTACAAATACATCACTAGCTGCTGCTTCTATTTTGGACTCCTATGCTATGGATTCATATTATAGTCGTTATTATGGTGTTCCATTGGTGGACTCTTACCTGCCACGTCCAAGAGGAGAGGCAAACCTGATTGGGACTGACCATTTGAGGCGGAGAGAAAGCAAGCAAGTGGATGAATTGTATCCCACATATGCTTCTAATGCTTTAGCGGATTATAACCAGAAGCATCGTCATCATCAAGTTGTTCAGCCTGAAGCTGTTTCTACGTCAGTTTCATCCCGGTACTCTTTTCCTGGTGCCACTTTGTCTTATCGCTGAGAGTCTGATTTTGATTCTGTCCCTTCACACCTCTAACTTGACACTCGTCAAAATCTGTCTCAATTAATTACTGTCTGTTCCTGTTATTTTTGTTGAACTTTAATAGATATCTGTATCACAATCGGATCGTAAATAGTTGATCACTGAGTAAGTAAACATTAGGCTATTTTGTAAATCAATTGTTTTCGAGGCAAGCTGGATATAACTTGTGGGGAGCATCTGGTTGATAGTGGTCGAGCGCCGTGCCAACCTCTATTCTGTTGCTAATACATTCTTTTAGCCGCGATATGTTTAAGGGTAAAATACACTTACTCTTTTGAGTTTAGTTATAATTTTTTGTAGATTTATTAGTTTCAAAATGAACAGTTCATCTCAAATATATAAATGATATTAAGGGATAAATATGAAATGTTTAAAATATTTTTCACTCTTTTTTCAAAAAAAAAATCTCTACCTCACTTTTTATTAGTCGATTATCACGCGATTGGTTACCTCGTAGTTGGCTTTGATTAGAGAGTGCCAGATCCGACCGTATCACGCTCCGTAGTGCTCCTTTCCAGGTGATCCCTTGATTGGGAAGCATCATATCACCGTTGGTCGTAAGGTGATCGAGTTGAGGTTAGAGTTTTTTAATTTTTTGAAAGAGAAAAAAATGTAAAAATGAAAAATATAATTTATATAATAATAATTTTTAAAATTAAAAAAAAAATAAAATTATTTTTAAAAAATTATCATGTCATTGTGTTAATAAAAAAAGTTGATTAATGAGAAAATTAATATATTTTTTAAAATAAATTATTTATTTTAAAAATTAATAAACTCATGTATAATTATAATAAAAAATTAAAAATCTCAATGTATTTTACCTTTGAAATTAAGATCTATTACAACTTTCAATATGTGTTTGTTGGTCTTGGGTTCGAGTTCATAAGCTGAATGAAGAGGGATGATTCTTCCATGCAAAAATTAGTGACTTACATGCCTTATAATCAAACAAAAAAAACTCCTTTTTCTTAATCCTTGTATACGATCTCGTTGACATAGACAGCATTAGTCATTTTATATTAGTCGCACCCCAAACCTCCAACCATGGAAATTAAGTGAACAAGCTAGGCTAAGTCAAGTCATTGTCGTGGACTCGTTCTCAGGCAAAGCAAACCTTTTTGGTCAAGTCAACAAGTAGATTGCCAAGCAAGGGACTGGAGTAAAAGCACTGCACGCCAATGTGTATGGAGTAAAATCGTCTATATGTATGGAGTGTGAATAGTTCAGATTGAACAACAACGACATTTAGCAAGCAGTTTCTAGTAAGCACTGCACGCCAATTGTCAAGTAAGTTGTTTCCCCAAGGTGTTTGTTCTTTGCATAATTTATGTCAAGCCATAAAGTGAACGTGTTTGTCAAGAGTTTCTTCTGGCTTTGATTGGTTTCAACTGATAATCTTACTGAAGCTCTCAATTTGTCTGGAAAACCAACTGCAAAATTGCTTCTTAATATTTATGTTACTGAGTTCAACATGCTTGAGATATTGTTTGATCACCAAATGCCAGTGTTTCACAGAGGAACTTGTGATTCTGATTTGGGCTTTTTAGTCTTAAAATCCTTGGTTTTGTTGTTTGAACTTGACTCAAAATCTATTTATGATTGTTCCAACATATGTTTTGATGGTTTCTCATGCGGAAAAGAGTTGAGAACCGGCAATTCTACACCATATTTTCGTCCCCTTTACTTCAAGCTTTGCAGTTTTCTTCACCCTGAGTTTCCTACAAAACTACAACTTTTGTCTAAATTTGCAGAGGAGTTTAACAAACACAGCCTCAATTAGTAGTATTTACTCCATAGCACTGTTTTCGCACAGTGGCACGTAGCCTAACGTAAGACAACAGAGTTTTATCTTGAGCTTCGAGAAATTAGTTGAAAATGGCGTTTTTTTTTTTGGTAACAAACTTCTTTTCTATGTACCCGTTATTGTAAAGGTAGACAGACAGATATGGGACAGTGCTTGTCGGGTGATGTGAGTGGAGGCCAGCAGGCCTCAGGTCACATGTCAATGCTTGAGGGAAATGTAGGACGAAACGACACAGTTGATTTCTTCTTCAGATCTGGAGGTCAACATTGTCCTTTCACAGGAATTGAGGTGCATATTTTATAATTTTATCTATATCTTCGTTCTTATTTATATTTTTCCATATGTTATAAACATGTTTATCTACATCTAAATTTGGGTTCATGAATATTACAAGCCTAGGAATAGTAATGTTAGATGCATAAATTAATTGGTATTGACTTCTGAATAATATTAACAGAGTCAAAACCAGTTCTCCTTGTCCATTACTGATGTGCATGGTGCCTTCGCTCGTCATATTTGACATGATTGTGTCTGAAATTTGATTTCGAATTCTAGTACTGTTTATTGAGTGGGTGGTTGGGGCAGGCTTTATTCATTAATTTCGCAGATCTCATTTTCTTAGTTGAAGTTGCCTTTCTATTTTATGATGTGTTAATGTTGGTCAAATGAGCACTGCAGTTATCTTTATATCTCGACATCACATCAAAGGTATAATTCTCTCTTATTTCTTTTTCTGCACTTTGTGTGTATATGAACAGCTAGCTAGTATCGATCTGCCTTTTCTCGTTGCTGTGATTAAGTGGTCCAACGTGTCCTGGACAGTGTGCTTAGCTGATTATACATTCCTATGACCAATATACATCGGCTCTAAATTTTGGAATACTAATTGTACTGAAACCATTCTTGTTATTGCATGTAAAGATATTGCCCCACACTGTAAAATTGACTTTTTAATTGCAAGTGCCAAGTACGGTTTCAGCTGAACTGTTTACTGTTTTCTTATAGGGCGACCCCATAGCAGTTCTGTATGCAAAGCGAAAAGATGGGACACACTCAAGGAACTTGGTCGCACAGAAGCTATACTGAACAATTTGAATCCTGCTTGGGTTGAGAAGATTCATCTTACTTATCAGTTTGAGAGAGTCCAATCTTTAGTGTGAGCTTCTCATCTTTACCACGTTAGTCCTTGTACTTTTCAGTAGCCTTTTTCGGTCTGGATTATTGGACTAATTACTCCCTCTTCTTCTACCCCTGCTCCAGTTTTCATGTATATGACGTGGATACCGCATATCATAATGTACCGGTGAAGGTATACATATCACAATTCATTTTGTAAAGGTTTTGGAGTTTTGGTCCCAAGATTGATGAAAAACTTACTTGAAGTGATGAACTATATTATTCATTTCTTTTACCATGTTATCTTACAGATGCTAAAGTTGAATGATCTAAGAATTTTTGGGAGAAGCAAGTTGTGTTCTATCTGAGGTGACTTGCACCTTGCGGCCATTATATTGCTCCTTGAAATATACCGGACATATTTCTTTTCGGAGTTTTTTTTTTGTTAATGAACTCCATGTATAAGGTATTTTTTATAATAGATTTTTTTATAATTTTAATTATTTTTAGTCAGAAGAATTAAAATTTAGATAAAATTATCTTAAATGAAATTGACTCAGTTGTTTGTTTAGGTCTCAACCCTAAGCCTGTTAGCGGATCTAAGTATGTTTAGGTCTGCACCTCAAACCAACTCATATTTTTTGAGCTTTCGTGACCAGACCATTCATCTCCTAAGTATTCTTACCAGAAATAAAAACGTTTAAGCATTTTAAATATTTTAGGGTATTTTTTGATACACAAAGAAAACGTTTAAGTATTTTGAGCATTTTAAACATTTTAGAATGATTTTTTATATATGAAAAAAAAACTTTTAAACATTTTGAGCATTTTTTGTTAAATAGGCATATTCGTTAACTATGTTGTTAAATGAATTATGATATATCGTTTAAAATTGTTGATCTTATTAAATAAAATTTAGTAGTTTTGATGATTTTTAGGCATTGCGTGATTAATATTTAAGTATTGTGTAACTGGTTAATATGGTATTGCATGACTAGTTAATAAGCATTGCGTAACTAATTAATAAAGTATTACATGACTAGTTAGTAAGGCATTGTATAACTTAGGTATTGATTAAAAAATTAACCACGCAATGTTTAAAAACCAGTCACGTGTACCTAAAAACCAATCTCATAATATTTAAAAACCAGTTTAATTAATTTCAACTCCTCAACTTTGGGATTCTATGAATAAACCAATCAACTCAAGAACTTAAAATATTTTTTTTTTTACTAAGCTATGAAATTATGTATTTTATAAAAAATAATTTACAAAACTCCATAACTCTCCAAACTAAGACAAAATATATTTCTATCAAAGGGGCCTTACTTACTCCCCTTATGCAAAAACAAAATATACGTTCTTTACAAAATATTTCCCAAACAATTTCAACTCAAAATCTCATTAAAAGAATCAAAATCTTCAACAAATATGCTTAACAATCATCTCAATTTCAAACACAACAAAACCATGAACAACCATAAAACCCATCAAACATGCTTTAGCAGTTCCTTCTCCCTGAGCCCATTATCTTAACCAATCTGATCCAACTCATCAATTCAAGCATCTCCATCGCAGTACACGTTTTGAAACAAGTCATCACTAGAAAATATCCGGTTATTATATTCATTATGCTGCCTACAATTATAGCAAAATCGTTGTTCGTTACCTTGAGAACCCAAGATCGACCCTCAAAAAAAATAAAACAAAATAAGAAAGAGCTTAATATCATCTCTACTATTTGGATGATGAGATAGACAATATTTAATCAGAGAGAGCAATCGAGATTTAATTTTAAAATTTTTATCTGAATGGCGAGATAGAGAAAATTAAAATCATTTTAATTTATTTAAAATTATTTAAAAAGTCAAAAATTAACTAAAAATAATTAAAATTATAAAAAATGATATCTTTAAATTGAACTTATGAAGAATTATTTCTCACAATTTCTTTTTTCTTTTCAGTTTCCTTAGGTAGTCGAAAACTTACTTAATGTCTAGATATAGCGACTTATCGATTTAGAATTGTCAGTAACGCCGTATTTATTGCTGGTATATGTGTTCTTCCTTTTTTTCTCCCTTTGACAGAAACTGACCTAACGAAATCAGACATTAACTCTAAATCTCCAAAGCAAACATAGGCATGGAGGTTCGAGAAACTTTGGGATGCTCACTGTCCATGCTGAAGAAACAGTTGCTTCTAGAACTATAGTTGAGATGGTATTACGTTGTTCGCATTTGGACAACAAGGACCTGTTTTCTAAGAGTGAATGTACCTATCAATCTGCTGTTTTTGTCTGTGTGTGCCTGCTTAATTATGTGTTTCCGACTCCCTTTGATTTTTTTGTCTTACAGGATCCTTTCTTGAGAATATCAAAAATAGTTGAAAGTGTAGGTTGTGTTCCCATATACAAGACAGAGGTGGTAAACAACGATCTAAATCCAGTTTGGAAGCCCTTATGTCTTGCCATGCAGCATTATGGAAGCAAGGCAAGCTTGGCATGATCGCTTTGTGATTATTCAAGTATTTTCCAAAAAGAGCTTACGAATTTATGAGACAATTGGCATCAAATTATGTTCCTCATCTTCTCTGATCATCACAGGATAACCCGTTAATTCTCGAGTGTTTTGATTTTAACAGCAGCGGCAACCATGTACTTATTGGGTAAATTTTGGCACACTCCAATGCCTGCAGCGCTGTTGATTCTGTTCATTTTTACCCTGTATACTAGTTGATTTAACTTGGGTTTCATGAGTTTTTTTTTATTTCATCAGAAAAATTCAGAAACCAGTTTCAGAGTTGGAAAAACTTCACAAAGAAATAAGCAGTGCAAATTTGGTTCTGTCATCCCGTCAAGGTCATGATAAGGTGATTATCTGTGCTTAGCACAGGGTTTTTACTATGTTAATTCGGTATACTAAAATGTCAGTGTGCCCTTTAACTTACTATTGGCATTCAGGTTCTAAAGGGTCAGCTCTTTGTAGATCAACTTATTAAGAAGCCACGATCCAGTTTTCTGGATTATATATCCAGTGGATTCCAGCTAAATTTCATGGTTGCAGTTGACTTTACATGTAAATGACAGTCGACCACCCTCCATTTTCCTTTTCTTTCTTCTCTTTTTTCATGTTTATGGCTGGTCTGGTTCATGCTTGCTGATTGGATATTAAAATTTTCCAGCATCAAATGGACTTCCTCGAAATCCAACTTCTTTGCACTATATTGATCCGTCAGGCAGATTAAATTCTTACCAGCAGGTAAGATTGGGCCGGCTTTTGTTCACTTGGGAAGTGTAACATGTCGTGACATATATGACATGAAATATAATTGTCATTTATGAAGTTCTATTGAAACTAAAGCTACCCTTATTACTTTGAAAAAGACTCTATCTCTCATGAAATAGTAACTAATATTGTTAGGATTCCATTAATCAAACTGATATTTGTTCAAAATTTGTTTTAAATATTAAAATTACAATCATTTTGTTTATTTCTTCCCTTTCCCCTCTTTTTTTTTGGAGAAAAAAAAATTGCTGTCTAAATTATTGACTACTTGATCGTTTACAGGCTGTAATGGAGGTTGGGGAGGTTATACAATTTTATGATTCTGACAAGCGCTTTCCTGCTTGGGGTTTTGGAGCGAAGACATTTTTTAACACTAGTTCATCACATTGTTTTAACTTGGACATAACCAATGGCTATCACGAGGTGAGAATTGCAGAGTCCTTAAGCTTGTGCCACGCTTCTTCATCTCTCTGAACCTGCTTATTCAATATCATAGAAGGAAACTGCTAAATAATGAAAATTGTGTTTGACGGGTTGTAAGGAGTTGAAGGCATCATGGCTGCTTATGCTAGTGCTATTCACAATGTTACTCTGTCAGGACCTACCGTATTTGGCCAAGTGATCAACAGGGCTGCGCAACTTGCTAGGTTCTTATATGACAGCACAAAATATTTTGTCCTGCTCATTTTAACTGTAAGAATTAAGGAACTATTGCTTCCTTTTGCAGTAAGGACTGCTGTTGTCTGCCTAACTGACAAAGAACTGTCACCTTATATAGGATGGAGTCCTAACTGATATTCAAGAAACAAATGATGCCGTGGTAAAGGCAACAGATCTTCCTTTGTCTATCCTCATAGTAGGAGTGGGAGATGCAGATTTTAAACAAATGGAGGTATGCCCTGTGTTATCCAATATTATTTACATTACTAAAGATCAAAGTGGAGCTGCACCGGATATTAACCTATGCATTGAAAAAACAAAAACCAATTTTGTTTGCAGATCCTGGATGCCGAAGATGGATGCCCGTGGGTGAGTTCTAAAGGTCGAGTAGCAACTCGAGACATTGCTCGATTTGTTCCAATGCGAGAAGTACATGGTGAGTGTATATATCTTTCCTGCTCTGATTGAATCTTCATATTTATCTTCTGCTTGAGGGATTCATCATGTAGGTGATAGCAGCAAAACAATTAGATGTTGGGAATTGGGTTTACTTCAGTTCTCTAACTAATCCGTTCTATTTGGGACAGGAGGGCAGATTTCTCTTGTTGAAGCTCTTCTGCCAGAGCTGCCTGAACAGTTTTTGACTTGCATGCAATCCAGAAATATTAAACCACATGGTTTCATTGCTTGAAAGGCATTCTGTCACCCCAAACCTTCACAAAAAACATTGTTAATATCATTATTAAGACTGATTATAGTTTTTCCTTTTTACTTTTTCAAGTACAGATGGTAGAACTATATATCAATCAGCTGAATTTAGGTTGCAATTCTCTCTCAACTGTAAATCTTGGCCTGAGCTAAAAGGGGTAGAAGGCTGTGGCCAAGCCATAGGAGACTTCGAATAATCGTATTATAATAATGGATGTTTGGAGTCTACCATTGCTCATTGCTATCCTTGAGAAGAATGTTAATCCAGATTGGACAATAATTTCTCTGATGATTGTACATTTTTATAATACATTTTATTCTATATTATACGTTACGGATAAATTATAAATACGGTAATTAATGATTAATGAAAGGGTTCTTTTCAAAAATACCTCTCGTAAATAAGGTGTTTTTAGAAATAACTCTTTTTATAATTTTAACTATTTTTAATCAAAGAGAAATTAATTTTAGACAACATTACCCTTAATGAAACCAACTCATATGTTTAAGTTCACGTTTCAAACTGACCGACTCATATCCTTTAAACTTTACTTATCAGACAATTCATCTCTAGAGTATTTTTTACTAGAAAGAAAAATTTTTAAGTATTTTGAGTATTTTGGAGTAATTTATGACACACGAGGAAAAATCTTTAAGCGTTTTGAGCATTTTAAGTATTTTGGAATGGTTTTTGATATATGAAAAAAAACCTTTGAAAATTTTAAGCATTCTTCTCCAAATAGGTATATTTGTTGATTATATTGTTAAATGGAATATAATGTGCTATTTGAAGTTGTTGATTTTGTTAAATAGAATTCAGTAATTTTTGTGATTTTTAAGTATTACGTAACAGGTTTTTGGGTGTGATTAATTTTTAAGCATTACGTAATTGATTGTTAAGTGTTACATAACCAGTTGATATGACATTACATGACTGGTTGATAGGTATACGTGACTAGTTACTAAAGCATTGCATGGTTAGTGTTTAGGTATTGTGTGACTTAGGCATTACTTAAAAATCAGTTATGCAATGCTTACAATCTAATCACGTAATACTTAAAAACCAGTCACTTAATACATAAAAATCAAAAACATAACTATTAAGTCATGCAATGTTTAAAAACTAATCTCACAATACTTAAAAACCAAAGACATAATTATTAAGTCATGCAATGTTAATTAAAAACCAATCTCACAATACCTTAAAACTAATAACACAATGTCTAAAAACTAATAATGTAATATCTAATAACTAATTGATTTGCTTACTCATAATTAGGTTTAAGTTACCAAAGTCATGCAGTGTTTTAATTTATCTATATGTTTAATCAATTTCAACCTCTTAAACTTTAAAGTTTTAAGAATACAAACTGATAAACTCAAAAATTTAAAATATATACCTTAATATCATTTCTGCTCTTTGGGATAGTGAAAAAGAGTTGCATGGCAAAATAGACCGTATTTGACAAGAGAGAGAAATCAAGATTTAATTTTAAAATTTTTATGTAAATTAGAAGATAGAGAAAATTGATACTATTTTAATTTATCTGAAATTATTTAAAAAGTATTGTTATCAAGTTATGTCAAAAGTATAATAAATAATATTTTTAAATTAAACTTACTAAAGAAGTTATCTCTCACAATTTTCTTTTAATAAAAATATTAGTTACAAGATATTATGGAGTGTGTACTTTAACAAATAGACTTTTAGTCTCTAGTCAACTAGTGAAATGCCAAGAAAGAGTCAGACTTCACTTCTTAATCAATGCATATTTGAAGTTAATATATAATTATCTAATTTCAAGTGTGAAAAATGACCAAATTGGATTGATTGCACGCAACCCATTATTCCTAGAAGTGGGTTGTTTCTTGGTTAATTTACAATTGTTAGAATATGACAAAAGTGGAATAGGTCAAAACTTAATGTCAAAATCTCATTATTATTATTGTATAATAGTCAAAATATTTTATGTTGGTTAACACCTTCACTAATCAAAAGCTTTTCTTAAGCGACTGCAAATTATTTGTTCCGATTCAATATCTCTTCTTTTATTATTTTTATAATATTATGTCACATGTCTAATAAATAAAAATTTATTCACAACAATATTAATTGGTAAAACATCACCGTTTGATACGTAAATTGCCACTTGGTAAACAAAAGTTTATTAGTGAGTTTCGATTTCTTAACTTTTTTCTTTTTATTAGTTTTGATAGTATAAAAGGCAATTGCACAATTGTCATGTACGCAGAAGAGAATTCAATTGCAAATGGTCCAACTCTTCCAAACCCTGAAATTTCATTGAAATAACGAAACAACCCACCCAAAGGTTGAATTTCCATGGATTGGAATATTCCACATAGCCGTTGTAATTGGAAAATCCTTTTCTTTCCCTTGGGAATGGATAAGATTAGTATTGACTTGTAGACTTTGAGAAAGTTTTAATGTACGCATGCATGCATGCATGCATGTCTGTTTGTATGTAAATTGCGAGGCAAATGATAAAATTAAAAGGCTTGTCTGAGTTTCCCAACTGAGCTCTCATTCAAGAAACAAACAGTGGTTTCTGCTTTGATTCCGAGCATGAACTTCTTCATTTAAGTAGGATTCTGTTTCTATTATACGCACGAAATCAAAGGAAGAATATTAAAAGCAAGACCAATGTCAGACTGGCTGACATCTTATCCATGACGTGAAACCGAGTAATTTGGTTGTCAGGTTATCCATCCTCTCCTATAAATACATGCAAGAGGATGAAGAAATGAAAGAAAAGAAGTAGAGACGAAGGCCAAAGAGAATCTAAATCCTACTCAGTAACCAAGTTCTGAGTTTTTGCTCCGCCATAATCACGTAAGTCTTTATAAATTCTTTTCTTTCTTTCTTGTTTTTTGCTATATTTTTTGTAATAATTTGTTGATCGTTTCAAGGGAACTTGACAATAGTGTATATGACTTTGTGTCTATATATATAAATGAGGTGAGGTTAGTTGATTAATTAATATCATGTCAATTTGGCGACTGTTATATTTTTATTTATTTATTTTTTTTACATTTTTCTTTGTCTTTTCCTATAATGGCATAATATTTTAAAATTTTAAATAAATTTTTATTTTTTATTACATTCAATTAAGTCTATAATTTTTATTTTGGATTAAATAGACTCTTATGATTAACAGTTGGTTATTTACTATTAGTTAAAATAACAATTATTTTTTTATACTCACTTAATACTGACATTTATGGTGAAAAAGATCATTTTACCATATCATCATACTAATAACAAGTAACATTTTAACTAACAATAATTAATCCATCAGTATTTGTAAAGATTTATTTAACAAAAAATAAAAATATAAAAAATTAATTAAATATAATAAAAATAAACATTTATTTAAATTTTTTTAAATAATTCAAACATTTTTTAAATATTATATTTCTTTAATAAATAAGGGACCATAGGTTAAAAATTGCATTTTTCTTTTCTCTGTTCTCTCCTATTTACTGAGAAATATTTATCTTTTGTCATTCAACTAGTGCATGACATGCATTTATTTTAAAAAGAATAATAGTTTTTAAATCAATGGTACAATTTTAATAAGTAAGAAAAATTTAAATCCATACTCTCTCGGCTTAGTAAGAAAATTTCATGATTTTAATTGATTTTTCACGTCAAAATCTTATAAGTAAATTTGATTTAGCAAAAATCATTATAGGTTTTTAAATATTTTTTTATTCTCTTTGTTAAATTGATTGGAATGATTTGGAAACTATACATGTTAATAAAATAATTGGCATAAAAATTTAAAAAAATTTTAAATTATTAAAAAAAATTAAATAAACTCTTATTTTTTATTATCTTTAATTAAATCTTGATATATTTATTTTGAGTCAAATAGATATTTATTACTAAGGGTTGACTAATATTATTTTTATGATCACATTATATCCTCAGGTTTTGATGTGGAAAGTGAAAATGTTATGCAATCATGTCATAATGCCGTGTCACCATTCACTATAACATGTCAACATATCCACATTAACACTGTGTGATATAAAATGACAAATGATATTTTGACAGTTAATCAACTGTTAATCATAAAAACTTATTTGATTTAAAAAAAATACAAGAATTTGAAATGTAATAAAAAAAAGTTTATTTGATTTTTTTCACTAGTTCAAAACATTTTTAAGTACAAAATGTCCAAATTATTTTATTATATAAGTAAAATTTATAATTCATAAATATACTTAAAAATTAAAATGTTAATACAAATATATTTATATTTTAATAATAAAGTTAATTATATGTGTTTATATTAGTAGATACAATCAATCGATAAGATTTTAAAAGTATCAATCAAGTTTCATCTAACTCAACTCGTAGACTTCTCTAAATCAGGTATAATATTATAATTCGAATTTATAATTTTTAAGATTATTCTTGTATGATTGAATAGAATGGTAAGAGCCTAAATTATGACTAGAATTTAAGATATATTCAAAGTTATTAATTTCTTATCTTTATCATTTTGCTTCGTATTTTCGGGCAACGATTTTGTGGGAGAAAAATAGTTTTTATTAACATTAAGAATTTAATACAAAGGTTTACGGCTATTTTGACCAATCTTTTATTTTTCTATATTGTTGACTATTCTTTGACCAGACCACTTGGCAATCAATCCTTTCCAATTTTGTACGTCAGACCGAGTTTAAACCCTTAAATTAACCTACAATTTCGCTACAAAGTTTCAGTTTTTTCTTTTTTTTCGTCTCTCGAACTATAATTTTACCCAAATTTTCTTGAGAAACAAGCAAAAAGAAATCTAGCCTGGCTCAGGCAATAATTTTTTATTAACAAGCGTGGCCATTTAGGCGAATATTATTAAGGACTTTCTTTTCGGGCAAGGCAAGCACTTTATTAAAGATATGCCAAAATCAAATCTTTAAGTTTCAAGAAATACATGGTTTGACGATCTAATTTAGGTTTTTCCTTGTAAAGAATTTGGGA